AGGTCAGGATATTTATGGATTATACGCATCGATTTATATATAGCAAACGACGGTGGTATAATCTAAGGGTTTTTATCAAGCCAAATGTTTGCCTGGTGTAGAAAGACATGCAAAATCGTCAAACGTGTCCCGTCTTGGGTGTTTATTTGAGAAGAAAGTGCAGCTTCTCTGCGTGTGTTATTAGTCTCAAGAAGACCAACAATGTCAATGGCGAAAAAACATAATGATATCAAGATCTGAAAAATGCTGACATATGTCTCTGTAGTTCACACTGTGACTGCAATGTTTACTAAAAATTAATGTCCAAGTGTCCTGTTTTATCCTCAACAACATCCCTTCCCTCAACCTTTTTTGCCTCCCCCCCCCCCCCCTTTCCTCCCACTTCCCAAAAAAGCTTTTTTTTAAAAATCGCACGACCATTGTTCCGTCTCCACAAATCCCAGCCCTATCCCTAACTCCGCCCCTACCACCCTTCACATGCGAACTAACTGCAATCTTTCTGACAATCCCTTATACTTCTCACTTACAACAATACACTTTAAGAAGTGTTATATATCTATATGGCAAGAATTGCAATATCAGCTTTTAGAGTGCTTTTCATTCCTGATTGATGGATTATAATTGATAGTACATAGTATGTTCTGCCACCATCAGCAGGGTTGATATTTGTTAGGAGGCAGGCTGCATCGACCCTGCCTATATGGGTTAACACGGTCTAGGTGGTATAATTATGACAACCCGGAAGAAAATTAAGATACAACAGATACAATTACTTTCTAACTAACGTGGGAATCGTATTCTTTACTTCTGGGCTTGACAGTGAAGAACCTAACCAAATACCTTTTCTTTTTTCATTTCTGGTTTCCCCAACATTTTAGTGAAGAAAAAATCCCAAACGTGACATTTGTAGTAACCATTTCTCGTTTGTTCCCTAAAGTGGTGCCGGAAAATCCACCCTGCTCAACGTGTTGACACAAAGAAATATCAAAGGCTACAATGTGACTGGCGATATACGACTCAATGGCTGGAACGTAAGTAGATATAATGCAAGCTGCAGAAAACTACATCTACAACCCCACAACCACAGCTCCACCAAACAAAATCAATGACAGTTGCAACAACGAAACGATTGAATTGATAGCAAAACTTGCATCTTATTTGCTACATGTTGTGAAGTACAGTGTATGCATTATCGTAATATTATATTTTAGTATATAGGCCAAAATATGGACACACATTATTTTTCAGAGAAGAAGTCACCTCCCCGCCCTTTCCACTTTCCCTGAAGCGTCTTGTTTGTTCCCAATTCCTAAAATTAGAATAATATTCTGATATAGCTGTATTACCAGAAGAAAGCTAGTTTTACCGTGGATGGCAAAACCGTTCATTGTTGTGCAGTTGTGTAAGAGTCAGTGTCTGTGACTGTGTGCGTGTTTGAGTGTGTGTGTATCTGTATGCTTGAGTGTATGTGCGCCCATGTGTGTTTTGTGTGTTTGTGTGTGTTTGTGTGTGTGTGTGTGTGTGTGTGTGTGTGTGTGTGTGTGTGTGTGTGTGTGTGTGTGTGTGTGTGACTTTTGATGTGTTCTTTCTCTTCTTCTTCTTCTTCTTCTTCTTCTTCTTCTTCTTCTTCTTCTTCTTCTTCTTCTTCTTCTTCTTCTTCTTCTTCTTCTTCTTCTTCTTCTTCTTCTTCTTCTTCTTCGTCTCCTCCTCCTCCTCCTCGTCCTTATTTTTTAAAATCCAAATTTGATTAAATAAATTAGTCATTGTTTGTGGCTACGATATATTGTGTTTTCTGTAACATGAACTAAAGAGGCAAAAAGGTTTCCTGTAACCCCATAACTGGGTTTATTCCTGAGCAGATGGGAGAAGGAATCCGCCATGTGTCAGCCTACGTCCAGCAAGACGACCTGTTCATCGGGACACTTACCGTGAGGGAACAACTGCAGTTCAGGGTCTGTTCTAGCTCGAGTGGTTATGTTACATAACAAAATGAGTGCATATTGAACGTAATATATTGTTAAAGAGTTGTTTTTTAATGATGACTTGTGCACATGTACCTAAAGATTGGTGCCTAATGCCCCCGTTTATCCTAGCTAAAATCTCCTACTGTCAGACGAAGTTTTGTAGATAATAGTCATGAGCAACAGAATATAATTCTATGGGCAGATTAAAGACCCAGGAAGCTAAAAAAATAAACATTGCACGTATTTTAACTAAAAATTCGTTTCGTTTGTCTCTTAATAGGCGTAAAACATTGTGTCACACACAAACACACACACACACACACACACACACACACACACACACACACACACACACACACACACACACACACACACACACATAAAAATGGTAGACTGTCACAGTAGATGTCTAAGAGATATTGGCCGTTTAGATTAGTAGCAATTTGTGCCTGATGCGTTATGAACGTGATTTAGGCGTTCAAAGAGGTAAACTATTTAGTTTTTAAATCGAGCACATCGAGCATTATTTTCTTTGGAAGGTGTTTCAGATGAATTACCAAATAAGTAATTCTTTAAACTTTATCAATGGATTTTTTTTTTTTTTAAATTTTGCCTTGCTACGAACGGGGGCGATTTTTAATGCCTTCAAAAGCTGGAATGAAGATAGAGAACACACATTGTGAAATAGGAAAACGTCTAATTTAAGATCAAATTATGCAACTACACTGCCACAAAGGACTAGTCATTGCGATTGCCGGCTGTAAGGATAATTAAGAAGCAAGACCCCTGGATTCAATATCCGTCTGTGGTAGGACCAGGCCGAGTGGATAAAAATCTTTAAAATCTCTCTTAAGCAACGGAAGCTCAGAACGCCCTTTTGGTGATTCGAACAAGGACCACCCACTTCCGAATGATATGTCCAATATCATTCCAACTGAGTTAACGGTATGCCAAGATACCAAACCAACCAACAGTGACAAAATTGAAAGAATGAAAGGACGTAGAAGCTCTTACCTTTCTTTTGAACTTGCTATGCTTCTTTCCTTGACCAGGCACTGTTGCGAATGGACAGACGGTTGGACAAGCGAGCTCGATTGGGAAGAGTGGAGGACGTCATTACTGAGGTAAGGCGCTAACTACTAATATTATTGTTGAATGCCTATTATTGTCAACGTATTAGTACACTGGTTATGCCTCATTTGTTTGTATTAATTTGTGATTTAATGTACATATAGCTCTTTATATAATTGTATAGTTACTCGTTTGTATTAATGCATTTGAAGTTCATCTTTACATTGTTATAATATAGTTATCCGTATGCATTTGTGATTTAATATAGATATTTGCACAAGTATATAGTTACTGCTTGTTTGGGGGGGGGGAGGGGGGAATGTCGGTTTTCGCTTAATAATAGTTACCTGTTTGTATGTGTACCTATACGTTTGCCCGTCATGTCGTGTGTTTTGTCTGTTTGCTATTTTCTTCTCCCGGTCTTCTTCGTTCTTTGTCGTAAAGTAAATATTAATTACCATGTCAAAGTGCTTCTCTTTACTCAACCCAACAGATGGGTCTCACGAAGTGCGCTGACACTCGCATAGGTGCTGCAGGGGGTACCAATAAAGGTATCTCTGGTGGTGAGAGGAAGCGACTGTCCTTCGCCTCTGAGGCATTGACCAACCCACCCATCTTCTTCTGTGACGAACCGACCTCAGGCCTAGACACCTTCATGGCCCAGAACATCGTGCAGACACTGCAGGTTAGTAATATTTTCTAAGAAAGAAAAGAGTGGAGGTAGATCTCGTGGTCTAGAGGTTAAAGCGTTCGTCTCTCGTTCAATAGGTCCTGGCTTCGAATCCGGAAAACAACGGAACATTTTCTTCTCAAATTTTTCTCCTTTCACACCCTTTCTTGCTCTCTAACAATGTTCTGTAGTCTGCTTTTGCCCACACTTTCTGCCCACACCCCCTCACCTCCTTTGCCCCCTCCTCTGGGCTCCTGACTTTTTTCTGCAGCCTTTCTACTGCTACTCCTTGGCTCTTTCTTACCGCTGTCTTTCAGACACACTCCTGATCTTATGGTAGGTACGATCTACGCCTACCCTTCTCGGATAAGGGCGAAATATCTCGGAGGTTGTGTGTGCTAGTCGCACACATTAAAGAACCCTTGGTGGTGGTCCAAAATTGATAAGAGTAGTTTTCGACCACCTGGGCAAAATTCAAAACTTCCTACAAACTGAACTTGTTTACTGAACTTGTTTAATGTGTCCCGCGCGCTCATATGACCGTATGCAGTAGCGAGTACCGCAAAACACTTACCAAAAAAAAGAAAGAATAGAGTGAATGTGGGATCACCCCCATTGAGGACGCGCCTTCTGGTTGTTCGACAACGCTTGAAGACTTACTGTTCTTGGGCACTTAAAATGCAGAAGTACAACTTTGTTTTTCTCACAGTTTTCAATTATGCTTTATTTATCTAAAACTTAAGTATAACGATAAACGAGTACTTGCTATGCACTGTGCTAATTCGTTTGTTAATAATTTGTTAATTATCTTCATGTGGTTATCATGCCCACGAAGTATGCTTCCCTGGGACGAGACTGCAATTATGACACAGAGTGGGCGTGTCAGAGTGCGTCGTCACTGAACCTGATAGGACAAACTGTACCAGACATCAACAAAATTCAATACTCGCTGCTATTCGCTTGTTTTCATTTTGTTTGAATCGGAATGCATTAAAACATTCTTTCATTAGCACCCAAAGAAGACTTGTTGTTACCTTCCTTTGTAAGCAATTACAGTAGTTGTAGAGCACCTCAAAGTTATCGCTGCCAACCCCTTATAATTTGTTGCAAATTCATTTTTTATGTATTTACGGGATAAATTCTCATTTAAAATAAGCCCCGAATATTCAAATCTAAAAAAAAGCTGAAGCATTATTTATTCAGATATGTGTACTTGTCATAACTATAATGTTACATGTATTTTTGGTACATGTATGAGCGAGCTGGACGGTGAGCTGAAGAAATAAGGAGTGAGA